AGGTCTTTTCCAACCTAAATGATTCTATGATTCTATAATCTCCAACAGTCCTTTGGAGCAGCCTCCAAGAGCACAGAAACATTAGTAGCACACTTTTCTGACTCAGGGAAAATAACCCAGATTCCTACTGTGGAACAGATAACAGTATCTTCCCACACGTGTTCCTCCCAAGCTCGATTCAGAGCTCACTATCCAACACTTTCACAATATTAATGTACTGGAGGACTTACTACCCTCTGACATTAGTTATGTTGGATCAAAGGAGAGTTATATCATATATCTGATTAAGAGGTTTTGTCTGCATGCAGTAGTCACCCACATAAGCTACAATCATCACTAGAATTGAGTGAAGTACAATTTGTTGGGAGAGTTGTAATGAAAACAGACAAATATGAAGAAAAGCATTTCCTGAAAGAAAATTTGGGAGATGAAGGTTGACCACTGTTGTTATGGGACTCACTCTCTGTCTTTAAGAAAAAGTGAAAAGAAAAATGAAACCAACTATATATGTAATACACATAAGGGTCATTGTTCTTTCTTTTTCTGAGCAGATCTGAAATAAATGAAGGAGCTTCAGGTCAATGTCTGAATTTTGTCCCTCTTCCCATTTCTTCACCTACTCCAGAAGGCAGCAGCAGCAGAAAATCCTGGTTTTTTCCAAACTGTAAGTACAGTAAATTTAAGGGAAGATGAAAAGGATTTAAAAGGGATTAATCTATGACTTCAAGCTACTGCACAGCCTCCCCAAGAAGTCTGTGGCGTGTCTGGTTCAGTGATTTAGCCTGCTTGCTTCCTCTTGAAAGGACAGGATGTAGAGTTTAGTCTAACTAGCGCATTCAAAATATGTTCCCTCTTGGGAAACAGAGGAATAGTGTGGGAACAGTCCTGTCCCTTGCACTCGGCAGGGCTAAATAGGTTATAATGAGAAAAGGTTCAATTAAGGGCTCCCTTACACCTGGCAGGAGAGGACCAGTGCTTGGCTGTATTCCCAGGTCTTTGTAAATCAATCTGTGGCTGTCCTCCTTGCTGATGCTGCCATCAGCTGAGCCTTGCATAATTAGAGCAGTTGTACTGACAAACCTTCTGAAAGCTGCAACTGTTGTCTTAAAAAATAAAGTATGAGTTAAGATCCACGTGTAGGGCGCAGATACGGTTAGTCTGTGATAAACTGAAAGTCAATTTTACAGTCATGCTCAGTACATAAAGGTTCTGCATGTGTGAACAGAGACGTGGCTCACAGGGAAGCTAAAATAATTTCTCTGCTCTGTTTAGATCATCTCAACAAGGATGTTGTGTCCAGTTTTGGAGACCACAGGTCAATAAAAGTGTGAGCCACCTGGAGTGACTGCAGAGGAGAGCAATGAGAACCAGCTGATGTCTTGAAAAGACATAGAAGGAAGGATGAAAAGACAGTTTGCACTAAAGAAGACTGAAAGGGAGACACGATGACTGCCAACAGAAAAAAAGAGGAAAGGAACACTTGTTCGCCATGTCCACTGTAAGGATAGTGCCAGACTGGAACAGTTAAACCTGTAGAAACCCCATCATCAGAGGTCTCTGAGGACACATCAGAAGTTTTAGTGACAAATGGACTTTCACTGATCCAGCAAAAGGATGGACTAGTGTAACTCTAGCCATCCCCTTCACCCCTGTTCTCTGTGATTTTCACTCATCACCACCACTAGCATGCTGCAGGACTGTTTAACACAAGACATGCAACCAGCAGATACCACTTTGGACATGCATTTACTTACCTGTTCATAAAACTCATTGACAATGCCTTCTGTCCACTGCAGATGTAAATCTTTGCATTTTGCAGGCCCATTTATGTCAGCCAGTTTGATGCACATCTGGCAAACCAGCAAGCGGTCATTCTCATTAGTCCAGTCAATTCCAACATCATCATTCACCTAGTAGACAGAAAAAGGAAAACCATGACAGTAATCCTGGCTAAAAGGATGCATCCACAGAGGAAGTTCTGCCCTGGGATATCTTACAGTATATTTAGCTATTTAACAAAATCACAAGTGCAAGCAGGTGAGCTAACCCAAGGTTGGAATTTACAATCAGCTGTAGAGCAATATGTAAAAAGAAAAATAAGTGAAAAACAATGAACATTGAGATAAATTATGAGAAATTAACATTTAGCAAATGATGTGCCTGTTTGAAAGCATTTGCTAGGAAAACAAACAATTGTTATCTTTCCATGGCATTTTCCAAGAAGTTACTACCTAATTGGTGTACAAAGATAAATCACCAACAAATGCCAGGCTGATTTAATTGCAGTGTGAAGATGCATGTAACGAGCTTATTTCCCTATTTGATCTGTCTGAAAGTATTCCCTATCTTTTTCCTTTTCTCTATTTTTCCCATACCTCCTCCCACAATAAAAAGTGATATATGCCATCAACTGCTCTAAAATAAAAGTGTCACCTTAAAGAATCGCAGAAAGGTTGAGGCTGGAAGGCACCTTTGGAGATCATCTAGTTCAACCCTCCTGCTCAAGGCAGGGCCAGCTAGAGCAGGCTGCTCAGGATTGTGTCCAGTTCGGTTCTGAATATGTCCAAGGAGGGAAACTCCACAACCTCTCCAGGCAACCTCTTCCAATGTACAACTCCCATCACAGAAAACGTGTCCTTCCTTATTTTTAAATGGGGATTCCTGTATTTCAGCTTGTGCCCGTTGTCTCTTGTCCTGTCACTGATACCACTGAGAAGAGTCTGGCTCCATCTGCTTTACTCTCCCTATCAGGTATTTATACACGTGGCTGCATCCCATCAGGTCCCATGGACTTGTGTACGTTCAGCTTGTTTAAGTGCTCCCTAACCTGATGCCATTCATTGAGGATAAGTCTTCACTACCTCAGACTTTCTCTCACACCTCAGGGGCCTGTGATTCCTGAAGCCAGGTCTTAGCCACAAAGATGGAGTCTGAAAAAGCATTGAGGACTTCGGCCTTTTATATCTCCAAATGGTGAGCGATGCCAATCTTTACTGCTGTTAGCCACATTTTCCCATCTCAGCCTTTTCTCCTAGAATACCTCCTGGTGTGGGAGGGGCTGTCTTCTACCATCCACTTAATTTTTGAAATTCAAATCCCTCCTTGAAACACAACTTTAATTGTCAAGCTTGCAATAGTTGAAAATGGACAGACAGTTGTTGTACTATGACTAGGTGAAACATCCACATCCTCTGTCAGCAGGTTCCCTGCCCCATACAGCAGTGGGCCCACATAGTGAGGGCTTTGCTTTTGGCGTACATGATCCAACATAACTAATGTCGGAGAACAGTAAGTGCTTCAATGCACTGATATCATCAGTGTCAGACAGTGAGCTTCCTTCATTATTTCTTGTTGGTACTTTCCAGACTGCAAGTTTTCTGGTGGGAGGATGCTTACACTACATGTGTTTACACTGACTTCTGTACAGAAGGGTCTCTCTGACTGTAGCTTCAATATACTAAACTACTGTTCAGCAACCCAATCAATAATGTGATCATTTAGAACTAATTTTATCAGTTACAGCAGCTCTACCCATATACAAACATGTCAGGTCTGCTCTCTGAGACCACTCTGGTACAAAAGAGTTTTTGCCAACCAAACATAAATAATCTGTTTTTTTGATTCCTCTGGGAAAGCCAGGCTCAGCGACAAGCACTGGTTAACATGTTCACCTTCTCCTCCACCTTTTGTTCTATGCATGACCATTTTACTATTCAAGTAATAAGGAGAGAGAAGGAGGTTAACAGATGTCCTTACAAATCTATAGTGAGCTGGCAGGACGTGATAAATCAGACTGTTCTATTTATCTGCAGTGTCTCAGGTACCACCTTGCTTGGTTACAACAGTGGTTACACCTACCGTTGTCTAGCCTGATACATATAAGACAAATTTCGTTTTCAATATCCACAATTTACGCCTAGTACTGTGGTCAAGCTTGTCCTCTTCCACAGTTAAGACAGTTAATCTCTGTGACAAAGCCACAGTAATCACTGGCTTAGCCTGTCTTTTTTCATTCCTTACTTATGTTCACAGAAGTCAAGGTTTTGGTTCAAACTGTCAAATTCAAAGGATGTATTCAGACAGCTTAAATTCCTTGTGCTTTATTGTCATTGTAGCCCTGACAGATGAGAATCTGCCAATACTGTTCAGTACTTTATGAGGAAATTAAGCTGGTGAAAATGATCCCAGAATTTAAAATTAAGACCTAAAGAAACCCCCCTGATATTACTGGAGGTTTTGGGACATGACTAGCATGGGTGCAGAAGGAGTTCAGACTTTTACAGATCTACAGATCAGATCTCTGTCTACCCTGGACCATAATTTAAGGCCTTTCTTTACAGCTTCTTAAAGCCTAAGAAGGAGAGGGATGTTACAGTGAAATGGAAAACAAAAGCAGTCATACACCTGGAGGCTTCAACATTTCAGGATACAGGTCCATCACAAGCAATACCACAAGAAAACATTTTATCTATGTCACCAAAACAGCTAGGAGGTCATAGTCCTGGATGAGAAACACACTGGGCTTGCTGTGTTTCTCACAAGGATCAAGAAGGCAGTACCAGCTCCAAAGGCAGGTATCACGAGGTAACATGCCAACAGCTCTGATAGATGATGGAGTTTAATAAAGTAACTTGATAGGTGGTGATTTCCAATAATTTAGGTTGAAACTGCACAATAATTTTTAAGAATCGTTTCCCAGGGTTGCAATTTTATACTCACTGAATGGAGCATGCAGGAAAGATCTTTTAGTGACCTTTCTCTGGGGTTTACCCATTTGAAACAAAGTAGGGAAGAAAGATCATGCTTTTATTGCATTTGAAATTAGAATTTCAAAATTGTTATGATTTCTGTGCTTTGATAATATAACAGTTCAATTATACCAATAAAAATTCACATTAAGTATTTAGCCATTATGGAAACTTGGTAACAGCTTTGATTTTTTTCGTGAGTGCTTTGCTAATACATCTGAAGTGCCAGTGAACAAGAGAACAATCTTGAAAAGTAGGATGTAAGTGGGATTTATATTCAAATAGTCCATAATATCCTTCGTCTTAAACCACTTACTGAAAAAACTAAACATATGTAAGAAAAGAAGCTGTGCCACTGAATTTAAATAAGTAAAAAATAACAGAAGTGCCAGATTACTATTCAACAGAATGTTTTGCAGCAGCCAAAAGGACATTCAGAAGAAAGAGCAACACAGCAGCCTTTTCACTGTGGTGCTACCAAGCCCCACAATCTTTTCTGACCATCCACCAGAGACCTGAATCAATCTTCTTACCTTGGCATTGAATTTGGCAACAAAGTCAAAGTGTTTCTTCAGGTCAGTAGCCAAAATTGCCTCAATGACGAGGAAGCGGAAATGCTTGAACTCCACGTGGTCGAGGTTGACCAGGAAGTTGTACTCTGGCCTTGACATGAAAAGGTTCCAGGCAGCAGCAGCGTGGTGGTTCTCCAGGACGGAGCGGTCATTGTACAGCACCGCCTGTGAAAGTAATGCGGGCAGCTGAAAGCTGAGAAACCGCTTAGCAAAAGAAACACTGCAATGCAGAAATGAGAATGGCGTGGGGATGATGCATGAGGGAGGTTCAGGTTTGCTTGATTTCTTTGGCTCTTTTTTTTTAAAGAACTTCTCGAGGTTTGAACATGTGATTTCGGCAGGACTAATAGCAGACACCTGAATTGTGATGGGGAAGATTTATTGGACGATTGATTTGAAAAATCTGGGTCTTTCATGCTCAAAGGTCTTTGGTTCCTGACTGAACTGCGTCATATGACTAGATTATTCTGTTTCAGGCCACAAATTAATAACTAATATAATATAGGTGTGTGCTTCCCTGTTTCTCAGAACTAACCTCATTTAACAGGGATTATTATCTTTGGCGTTTGTACCTGGCAATTCTGTCCATATTGGATTGATTCCAAACACAGAAACAAGTGAAATTCCAGTTTGCAACCTGACAACACACACTCAGCCTGACAGATTTCTCAATGCTAAAATCCAATCTGGCTCAATCTTTACCAAAACAAGATGCATAACTCTCATAGTGATGGCAATTCCATTCAGAAACTAAAGAAAGATCTCGAAAATTGAGTTTAGGGGACAACAACCATCCAGGAAATCTCTCCACTTCAGCAGCATTCAGACTTTTAACAATTTGGTTTATGGAAAGAAAAGCTTTTGGAAATTTCCTTCTATGTAAAACAGATACAAGTTTTGCAACTTTTTACGCAAATATATACACATACGTTCCAGTGGCTTTTCACTTCAATTATATTTTTCTGTCATCTAAAGATGAAAAAATTCAATCCTGTCCTAAAGTACAGAATCTATTCTTTACCCCAGACAACAGGTTGCTGAAGCAACTCAGCTTTACAGCCCATCTTGCCTAACTGCACAGTAAGCATTTGAGATAGATATATTGTGCTATCCAGGCCCAACTCCCGAGGTCAGATTTTTAATACAGCAGCACTGTATCATTACTGGAAGCTGATACTGCTTGTCATGAAAAAGAAGAAAAAAATCTAGATGCCAAATACAAGTTCTGCAAATTTCAGGTGATATTAAAAAAAAACAAAATAAAAACCCCAAACAACTAATGAAAACCAAAACTCCCAAAAATAACAAGAAGAATTTGAATTTTCCCCATTCATTTATCTTCAAACTAGGGACAATACATTAAGGCTAATCATCTAACTTCCCTTGTTGATTTTTACAACCACAAAGCTATAGCACTCATTTCTTAAAATTAGATTTAAGGATAGGATATGTTTTCTATCAATCTATTTACCTGGCCAGAGTATCAAAGTTCTCCATCACATAAAGATGTGGCAAGGATGAGAAGTATTACTACCAGTTTATAGACAGACACTGATACAGAGCAAGTTCAGGTGACTTGCTTTTAGTAAGAGAGGAAGTCTGGATCCAAGTTGGGGAGTAAATCTAGAATTTCTGCATCCCTACCCAACTCGTCACCATTAAGCTATCTTTTATTCTTTCCTTGTCCATAGAAATATTTTTCAGCACAGTATGCTGAAGCCAGGCAGGTCAGCTATGTAAAGTAAGGAAAGATGATCTCATAATTAAGCCAATAAACAGTGACTCAGAATTGCTGAATTCAACTGCCAGCCTTGGCAGCAACTTCTGTGCAATCTTAGGTAAGTCTCAATTCTTCATTTATAAAACTGAGATTATTTTCCACACACACACCCTGCCCTGATAAATGCATAGTGTAAAAATACATTCATAAAAGACTGCAGCTGCTCATATTTGATAGGAACAACAGAAAATATGTTATGATCATGCACAAACTAACCTGCATGGTGGACTGGCAACTATACAGGTGTTTTTTTATTTTATTTTAATCTTTCTGTGCCTTACTGAGTAGAATAATTCATCCCTTATTTCAGTTACAGCTTCTCTATCAGTCAGCAGAGAATTAGCTTCTCCTTCACTGAGACATTTTATCAGTACCTTTCTTAACAGCTCTACTAACTGAGGATGGTGAGGGTGTGTAAGAAGACTCTTACTGGTAATCCCCAAGTGAAGTGATTATTTCTGTCACTTCAATAAGCTGTTTCAAAATATTTGGTAGACTTGTGCTTAATGGAGGCCACAGGCACCACTGGCAAGGAGAAGCTGTTACCAAAGACCTTCCAAAACTTAACAGCAACGCTGCTTGAGATTTATTTACCTGAGGAGCACTCGTTGCTACCAAAAAGGCATTGGTCCTTCCTGGATGATCATAATCATGCATGGCTGCAGCTACATAAAGAGCCATCAATTCAAGGGCAGGGATGTTGCCAGCTAGGCATCCATAGCTGTCATCTGTAGGTGTATATGTCTTCGAAAACACATAACCCATATGGCCGTGAGTGATTCCACTGTCAGAATCTGAGCAGAAATAAATAAATGACAAAAAAAAAAAAAAAAATCCTTACTACTTTTTCAGGGACTTACTGAAACAGATAGAAGCAACAAAGCAGGAAGAAAAGGAGCAAATTTACAATACATAATAGAAGAGTAAACACATCCTGACCTCAATGCTTTCTGATACCGTGCACATGATCCAGTGCAATAAGGCACAAAATTGGAAAGGGACAAATTCCGATCCCACCTGGGGATCTTCCAGCCATACATCAGAGCCTGTTTTCAAACTATGTAAGTTACTAGCAATAAGCCATGGATTCATGGCCACGCTGGAGCTTTGTGGGTAACTCGATCTTCCCACTCCTTCCTCTAATTGCTTCAACATATAGATTAGTCTATGAGACACTAACAGTCTTTAAAGCAAAGGACTAGCATTTATTAATTCAATTAAGGTACATGTTTTCCAATCCAAAGGTCTAGACTTTGGATCTTTGCTGACAATCATCTTAACAGCATCTTTTTGAAGCAGCTTGAACATGCCTGTCAGAGGCAAATACTGAGTGAGATGTTTTGCTATTTTATTCTGCTTGAATGGGTCTTACATGCAGCTGAACAATGTCTTTCAAATAACAAACACCAAAAAGCCCCCAAACTCAACCCCTTTCATTCCACCCCTTTCACCTCACCTACAAAGCCTCCAACAGCCCTTGCTAATAAAATTTTCCAGGAATAAAAACTTTTCCTGCCCCACCAAAACATCCTGAAGTGTTTCACAAATGATATGTATGTGCCACACAGACACCACCAAAACAAGCAGAAGAAGAAGTGGTTTCTGCGGAACAAAGTCCTGCTTTTCCAGGAACTCCCTCAGAACTCCCACAAAATACAGACAGCTCCTCTAGTTGCTACAGCTGAATCTGGAGAAGTTAATATAAAGATGCAGTAAGAACATCTTCCTGTAAGGTGCAATCATAAACCACCAGATGAGTGGTCTGGCAAACTAGCTGCAAAATGGTAGTAAGTCTCTTTCTTTGGAGACAGTGAGGAAAAGCAAAGGAACACTTCACAACAGCCAAGCAGCAGCAAGTGCACGGCACTACCTGCATGCCCCAGTGGTTTTGTAATAGCAAAACAATGCAGGGTTTGAGGATTGAAAAGTATACACTGCTTCTGGAGCAGCAATGAAAAGCACTACTATTACAGTTTTCCTAGTAAAAGCTTTGTAAAAATCAAATGGTTACAAACATTCGTTGTTATGGGTGACAACAAAGGCCTGCATTCATACATCGTTGTGTGTGTATATAAGTATTAGGTTTTGGAGGACCAATTCTATTCTCTTCAGTTACACAAACATACCTTAACATCTCCAACATCCAATGTGCTACTGAACTTAGAAGTCTATATAAATAACAAATACTGCACACATTCCTCAATTGTTTGATTTCTTACAGCAAATTTCATGACAAAAACCTTAAAAATACAACCTATATACTTGCACATTTAAATATACCTGAATCGCTTGCTGACCCGTGATCATTAATCACAGTTGGGAGTCCTGGGATGGGCTGAGTAGTAAGGTACCAAACGGCATGTAGAACATCAGTTGCGTGGATTCGGTTGTGATCTGTGATACAAAGCAAATGACACTGCTATTAAACATGAAGGATATTTCCAACAGAGGGAAATCAGCACCATCTAGTGGGTACTGCATGGCAGTCAATCGAGCAGAGACAAATCGAACATTATCACAAGCATGAAAAACAGCTGTATTCTGTAAATGCTCAGTTTTTCTTTTACTAAAGTTGAAGCACTTTCAATAGTATATCTCACACCAGTCAAGAAAGAGAAAACAGCAGAGAAGCAGTAGGATCTGCAATGTAGGAAACTTTGCAAAGAAAGCGTTAAACAAGGAGCCTGACCTGTGCTACCAGCTCCGATCCTTTGCTCCAGTGGTTGCCTTTAGCTAGCTAAATGACATCGGGTACATATGCACTGTTAACCTCCGATCCAAATGAAATCAGTGGGAAAATCTCATCCACTTCAGTAGCCAGATTCCACCTAGCTTCTAAATACAAGGCAGGTAACACGTACCTGACTCTACTTGAACAAACTTAGGTGCTGTGCTAGCAGCTGCACTGCAAAAAAAGCAAACTCAGGATATGTGTACACTGCACAGTTAAACCAGGTTCTTTCTGCCATTTTCTGGCCAGAGATAAGAGTTCAGGCCCCAGATCCTGTAATCTGGCTTACTACAAGCTCTCTTCACAGAAATGAGAGATAAAAGTCACCCCAAGGCTCACACCACCAAATCCTTCAAGGCCAGATAAACTATCCCACAATCAACACAACTGGTCGAAAAAGAATCACATGGTAGTTCAGCACAAAGCATCATCTAAACGTATGCTAGCAAAGAGAAACCATGACGCTGAAAGAGGCACAATGCTTTGCTGCACCAGGGCCAAAGCTTACATCTGGACAAGCATTTCTGCTTGTGATTCAGGCTAATTTTGGGCAGAGCACAGGTATCTTCTACAGTGACAGAAACACAAAGAAATCTGCTAATCTAAATTATAACCTGGGGCTACATTACTGCTGCTGCAGTTCTGGAAAGATGCATTTCAGAGGACAAAGCACAAAAATGTGGGACTCCACTGCTGGGTCACCCCCATCTGTAAAACTCACGGTAACTGGCTACACCTCTAGATAATTGGTCATCTTACTTGGAGACACCTTGGAAATGCCAATCAGTAATGTGCCTCCCATTGGCAAACCAGCTACTGGAATAGGCTTGATGGGAACAGGTGAACAACTAGGTTATATTAAGAAGATAATGGTCAAGAATCAAGGTAACACTGGAGATGATATGTATCCTTCATTAGGAAAAATTACCAACACACAAGTCCAGAAGCCCTCTCTAAGAATAAGTAAAGTTGACCAGATTCATCAGGGGTGAAAAAACGTCTGTACTCTGAGGGAGTAGAAGGGACTGGCAGCAAGATGTGTAAGCAACCTGGTTTTATACCTGCTGCATCCTAAAGATATGCAGTGTGCACCTGACAGAGGGTTTCTCAGCACTGAAGTTGAACTTCAACCTAGAGGCCCCTCCTTCTGTGGGAGAGGAGGAAGGAAGGAGTCCTGGGATGGATAAAGCACCCTGGAGAGCCATATTTGCTCTCTTGCCACTACTGCTAGGGGATGGATAATGCCTGCTCCCGCTGGGGACAGCCACCTGCCCCCTCCAGAGCAGCACTGCTGAGCCCACATTTCTAACCCCTGCCATCAGCAAGGGCAGCAGCTGCCAGTCTGCATCTCCCTGGCTCTGCCAGAGGATGGCTCACCACCTTGCAGACCCTACACTCCAGTGCTCAAGGCAACTGTCTACTTTGGCTACGCCTAAAATCAGCAGTATCCTGCCTGCCAAGGGCAGGCAGCTGTAGCACAGAAAGATTTATTATATTCACAATTTGCAATCACTTTGCTTACTCACTAAACGTGAGCATGATGTCATGCCACTTGGCCCTTTTGTTTACCCCTTGCTTTCCTCGCTTGCTCTCCTTTGTCTTCCCTGTGAGCTTCTCTTTAAATACTTGTTAGTGACTGCTAGCTGAAATTTTTAACAGCAAAACAATAAGCAGCACAGGAATGGTTATTTTTGGAAGGAAGGAAGTAAAATAAGGAAGGAGTCTCTTCTCCCCTGCCTTCCTCAAAGTACTAAGAACATCTCTCCTGAGACACTAATCTCCTCACGCAAAACCTAGAGGACAGCCCTGCGTAGGGTTCTAATGCTTTTCTCAGGAGTAAAGGCTGAATTAGCCTCTTGTGAAACTTGTACTGATTTAATCTAGCTGGGATAGCCACCATTAGTTTTGTGTGAATAACCCATTTTTCAGTTCAGCAACCAGAAGAAAGAAGTGGTTAAGTCTAAACAAGTTGTTTTGCTTTCTACCCCTCCACAGAAATAAAACACTGGAAAGTAAATTAATTTTGTATCAGACAAAATATCCTGCTTTACTAAAAAGAAACACACTTAAGAAAAAACAAGGAAATGAAGGGCTACATTCACAAAACTTCCTAAGACTCTATGAATAGTTAAATGTTTTAAACAAAGAGGAATGGCTCCAGTAGGACAGACAGACTGTGGGACATCCACCTATAACTCCCTCAGGCTACAATCTGCTGCTTCTAACCCCTGATCTGGTTCAAACACAAGGAAAGATTTGAAATTTGGTCTCTCACTTTCCCAGAAGAGAGTCCAAACCACCTGGCTGGGAGGCATTTTGAGGTAGCTTTCCTTCAAACCCTCCCACTGTAGCTGTTCCAATTGGTATTTAATATTTTGAGAGAGAGACTATATGACTTATTAAACCAAAGTTTCAGACATTTTTCTGGGAGGTGGGAGAAAACAGGGTGTCCTATATTCCTCAACACTGCTGTTATCTGCCAGCTAAAGGGGGTAATAACACCCTCTCTCCTCCTGGAAAAAAAGTGTCTTTTGCAGTTGAAGCAGTTTGGTAAATTTAATTTGAATTAGTGAATACTTTGGGGATGACTGAAAGCAGGTTTTTCAGTGAATAAATGATTTACAGTGAAAAATAGGATGCACTCATATACTTGGCATATTTTTTCTGCTTTACAAAGCTCATCTCCTTTGGTAGCATAGCACTGCTACTGTGTAAAAATCCAAATTGCTTATGGGGGGTGGGGGGAAATGTTTCAAAAAACTTCAACTGGGGCACTGGGGTTCATTTGCATCATGAGGAAAATTCTTTGTACCTATAGTAGCTTTGTATGGTATCAGGCTTGCACAGAATTTGCCATAAATTATTATGAAACAACGAAACATTAAATGCAATGAAAGAAAGACTAGAGGCTGTGGTTCAGCACCAGCCTCTGACTAGAGAGCCATGCATTTGGTCGAGATGTAGCAGAAGAAAACAAGTAGCTGTTATAATAAGAGAAGAAAGGCTTCAATAACAAAACGTGTGGAAAATGCCCAAAACTTTAAGAAAGCATCATTATCTGCTGGGAATTTTTACTTACAAGGTATCTCTCGGTATCCACATTCCAAGGCATGAAAGTAGTTCATAAATTCCCTCACTGGTATTTTAAAGGTTTCAAACAGCCCCATGTCTTCAAAAAGCCTGTATGATACCTGAAAAAACCAAAAGAACCATGCTGCTAAATAGACCAGAAAAAGTCTAAAAATTAGATATAAAAATCATTCTGTTGAAATACCCCATGAAAACTTGCTTTCCTGTTAGTATCTTCTCAAGTACATCTGATCCAGCTATAGCTGCAGCTATATGCATTTCCATAGGGATGTGGCTAGACAGCCAAACAGACAAGCTATTAGTACCAAACAGTCCTCATTCCTTCATGACACCCTTCCAGGTGTTCTTCTCTTCCTTTCAGACATATGGATGCCCCAAATTTTGCAAGCACCTCAGAAACATACACACATAAAGAAGATATCCAGAGGTCCTTAGAGTCTTGGGAAAAATTTCCCCACAAACTTCTCCAAGGAGCATCCATGAGTCAAATCTATTCCCAGAAAAAGTGGGAACAAGTGACGGAATGACAAAAGCAGAGAACCATTCAGATCCTATGCATTATCTCCTTTCCCTCACCCCCATTTTGGAAGGGAAATGGCAAAAGTCACTTCTCCGATAGGATTTCAGAGGCAGCAAGTGGCTTAGGAAGCAGAGCTGCTTCAAGTGTTCCTGCACAGAAAGGTAACTGCAGACATCCAGGAGAGGATATATTGGAAGGGAGAATGTGATGGATGAGTGAGGGGGCGTTCAGGAGAGACGAGTGCTCAGAAATGTAGACAGCAGCTGCTGCAAAATGGACGCTTTTGAAAACAAGTTTGGACTTGACATACAGAACAATGGGACATAGTAAAATTACTGCCTGCCCTTTTCACTTCTTCACAAATTGGACCCTGAAGCCTTTCAACTTCTTTCTTTATTTACTGCTGTTAGCTAAACTCTGTCCTTTTGATGCCATCTGTCTGGTAATGATCTGCCTAGAGCCAAGTAATTTAAAGCACACTTGGTATGATGAGTGCTATACCAATAAGAAATTGTTACAAATTATGTTTCATGTTTCACACCTGAATGTAAATCAAACACCTATCCACAGCCACTTCTTTCTGCGTATTGTGTACATAGATTGGAACCTGCGAGCTGCACTTGAAGTTTCATGAACAGAAACTTCAAATGTCCTGCCACTATGGATTTTTACAGTAAGAATAATAAAAAAGGATATGAATTTGCAGCATTAATGATCTCCCCCACTGCCTGCCCTCCTAGTCATTCCCTACGAGGAAAAACCTGCATGTGAACTAACTCTGGCACAGCATTGCAACAATGGCAGTGATGATGAGGAGACAGGTTGAATGTGGTGTCTGACACCATCCAGGATGCCCCTCTAATGATACATATCTGACGGTTAGGGTTCTGCTTGTGGCCCCAGCTCTTACTTCTGTTCTTACTGTAATTGTTAAGTGCCACTAGCAATGCAGTCAGAAAAATCACTGCTGGTGGCAATTTCTCTTCGTGGCCATGGCTGTTGGCCACACAGAAAAAGCTCTTTATGGCAAAGGAGTGAAAGAACAACTGAATTACAGTGCTCTGGCAGACACGAGCCTAGAATAAAAGGTAGGGCCTGTAGAAGGCAAAACTTTACTCTCTGAAAACCCCTGGGATCCTCCTGTACTGAGGCAAAGTGAAGAGACTGACTTTATGCATAATTTGCATTAGAAACGGCATAGAATTCTGTTTATCTATCTGGAATCATGGCTGAAGTAAATCAGCTGGGATCCAAAGTTTCAGCTACAGAGAGTTGAGGCGGTTTACACTCTAGTCTTAGATCATTGAATGGTGAGCTTCATATGTCCAGCAAAATATCCCTGCATAAGAAGAGGAAGCATAAAGAAATATTATTCTACAGAACAAACCTTACTGGTCTACACTACCAATACTAGATATGTTGAAGCATGTCATAAAAGCATATTTTCCCCCCCCTTGGATTTTGGGGGGCAGGAAATTCCACAGCAGTTGAAGTGAAGCTGACTGTGTTGGATATGAATGATAGCTCTTCCCCATGACTTGGAGTAAAATGGTATTATTCTCTGTGGTCATTAGAAAGCATAAACAGCCCAGCAAGTCATTTAGACATTTTTGTAATGCTTTCTTTCTTTCTCTCTTTCTCAGCAAATAGGGAGGAGGAAGGGGTAAGGGCAGGTCTGAAAGAGCAAAAAAGGGCATTGATGTCTTCCAGAAAGTCAACTAACTAAATTGTTTCATTAAAAAAAAAAAAAAAAAGCCAGAAAAACTGTGCAGTTTTGTTTATTCTTTGCTCTGTATTAACCCCTTTTAAAGACTTCCGTCCTTTAAAATCCTTCCTTCCCAAACTGCATGCTGCTTCATGAGCTCCCTGGGAGTTACCAAACCACAGGCTGAGCACGGTGCCCTTGCAGCCGCAGCGTGGTCCCCACTGCCAGCGACAAGCCCAGGGAAACTCTGACGGCTGCCAGGTGCTTGGCAGTGGGTGCTCCACACTGCCTCTTCCCTCCTGCCTCCATTTTCTACTTGTCTCTGCAATGATTGCTAACACTTGAATGAATCATTTATCCCTCAGATACTTCTGGTGGTGCTGCATGAAGAAGGACAAGTGCTTCTCCCAAATGATTCCTAATAAAAGCTTTTTTTGGAAATGGGGATCGTTATTCACACGTAGCTCCTCTCCTGGGTGTTGCAGGCACACACAGACAGCTCTTGTTAGAGGACATGTGCAAAGTTTAGATTAGCAGTTCCCCACTCATTTTTTGCAGGCAACCCTCTTGCACTCCTTTTTTGTCTCTTGTATTTTCTTTCTGCAAACATATGTTTCTTTTAAGTTGTGGCCCCTGGTCGCTGGCTTTGACAAACACAATTCCTCACAAGGGCCATTGTGACAATCCTGGGAACATCTCATCCTCCGAGGATTGATCTCCCCTCGGTCCTTCATATAATGGCTGCAGTTTCTCTCTGCAGAAGTCATGCATGATGATGCGATGACCAAACGTTCCTCTTGGCACTACCCAGGGACAACTCACATGCATTGCAACGATGCCACCCCGCCTCGACGCTGCTCATGTACCGAGAGCACAGGAGCATCACCAGCACTTCACATCTCTATGGGCCCAGTAATAAAAGCTAGAGAGAGACCTTGACTTTAGCCTATTCTTTTTCACTTTATTTGCTTTCCAAAGAAAATGAGTTTTTCTTCCACAGGTTTTAGTTTTATAGGAGCTGTAAGAAGAGTGTTAAGTGTGACTGAAGACATTATCTAACTTTATGGCCTGTTGTGAAGCACCAACTCAGTTGGAGAGTTTTGCTGTTCCTTTCTGAAATGAGACTGGTATGTAAATTCCTCTCTAACCCCTGTCATGCATATTTGTTAGTGCCACATTTAGAGTGCTTTCCACTGTACTTTGCACAGATGCTTTTATGGCCGCTGACTGGTTTGGGGTCTTTTTATATGTCTAAATCAATTTAACATTCCAAAAAGAAGAAAAAGACATCTCAAGCAGCTTTAAAGATGCTAAGCCAGCATTTGCTTTCTAAACTGAATGCTTCCCTAGAGGCACGTGTCAACTCTGCTTTGTTCCATCTCATAAATTTAACCTAGCAAGGCAAACATAGTTAATTCAGCTTGTTAATTTACTTCTTTTTAATGGATGAGTCCATTTAATGGCAAAGTACAGAGAATAAATCATTAGAGCTTTTGTTTTTCTTTGTTTATAATATCCCCGGATTTAAAAACTATACAAGAAAAAGACAATACTTTTAGCTGGAGAAAAAGATTTATTTGTTTTAGTTCTCTTATTTCTGAAAATAATTTTGTAAGGAACATATGAATAGATGGAGGAAAGAACTAAAGGAACTATATTTTATGAACAAGGTTGAACTTGCTACATTCTGCTCTTAGGGAGTGGGAGTTATTACAAACAGCTGTTATAGAAAATGTTGAATTTTGATCACAAATATTACTTATCAAAGCTTCATTATTTCATTTCACAGGCCTCATTTTGTAGCATTGCAAAATGGATAATGTGCTCAGAACCTGTGCAAAAGCAGATGTTGGGAAACAGAGTGTGGAGCTTTAGTGCAAATTGAGGGCGGCACAGGGGAATTGTCCTGAGAGGTACAAAACTCCATGCATCTTGGTAAAGTGCTTAAAACCTACAGAGGTACCCATGTAAAACCAGAACAAATTTTGCCCCATCCAAACCGTGGGTTATGCCATTAAAAAAAAAAGTTCTGTTTTTCCTTATGTTTCATTTTTCATTCTATAATGTGCTTTGCTCTTAGAAAACACCATGACCAATATAATCTAGAAGTGCATTTTAATCACATGCTCACTGTCTAGTGTAAAAGTGTCTCAATGATAATCACCGAATTTATTATCAACATCCACATCCAGCCACAGTTTGCCTATTTCTCTAAAATTAACCTAGAGAGCTTGCAGGCTGGTTAAACACAGATGTTACTTGCCAAACTACAGAACGATAAAAGGCAGACCACAGAATAAATTTGAATTCATGCTGTGGTTTTCCTGGTTGATCACTGGATAATTGAATGTAGCTGAATAACAGTTAACCACCAAGGGACCAAGATTTGATACAGCATTCTCTGGAGCTTGTTGCACTGAGATCTGCCTGACACACTAACCTCTGTGTTTGGGGGGGGTGTTAATGGTCCCACATTATACCAATTAACATAATCTCTTCTTTCCAGCACTCATCACTACATAAAGCCTTGTAAAGTGATACTAGATCAGGTTCTCTTGGGTTTTTTTACCTTCCATTCCTAAATGTAATTACTTGCCTTTCCTGTTTAATAAACTTCAATACTTCCGTAAGAAAAAATGGCTAATTTGTCAGTGTGACAGGAAAAAGAGGCATAACAGAGCAGAAAGTTCAGCCAATAAGGTGATTATTGAAGTGACATTAATCGTGCTGGGCTGTGTCAGCATCTGCATTCAACATAAAGGAGAGAATGAAAAACTGGTAGTTGAAACACAGACTAGCAAGCTCTCACATCTTGATTCATAGTAAATTAGTCTTCCTTATGTAATAATGATATGAATTTCTTATCAAAGTGCTGACTCTTTAAAGGTGAGGGAATATAGCAAGGACTGTTTTTTTCCTCCACTTCCTGAGACCTTGCTTTCTTGCACAGCCTGACTGAAATCATAAAAGAGGATCAAAGTTCTGTATTTCCTGCATCAACTGAATATATTTACTGGTTAGCCATCCCATGCTGAACCCCATGAGAAATCCTTTCACAAAGAACTCAGTAAGGGGTGGCAGCACCTCCTGCAGATAGAAGAGAATATTCAGAAAGGTTTATGTAACTCATTGGCAGAAAGCAGCAGGCAAAATAGGTGTGTGTTTTTTTCTTTCACATTTTTAAATGTAAAAATATGGAAATGTAAAAGTAGGGAATGTAATGAGATGGAGTTCATATTGTTAGCTTCAAATTAGGTGGCAGGGATCATAATTCATTGGATGATCAGCTTGTAAGGACAATGGGTCTTAACACTACTTTGTCTAAATCTGTCAATAATCTAGCCAGTCATTGCAGACAAGATATCCTTCTTACCTGACTGAGAATCCGACCACATTTCTTTCCAATTTTTTCCACCAGATCAAAGATTGGGAAGTTCCAACTATTTAGCTGCTCCATCAGCGGATCCAGGTTGTCCATAACCAGAGGCTCAGGTGCAAGTACAGGCTTGTCCTATGCCAGAAATCAGAATAAAGAGAAATCATAGCTCTGTGAAGCAACTCATGCAAAAATTTATGCTCTTAAAAACTAAGGTCACATTAGCATCATCTGTAAGCCAATGGTACTCGACTCAGCTCAGCGGAGATGTCCCCATTTCTACGAGCCCTGCAGCTAGTCACTCTCCTTTATAATTTGTTTCACTTGAATGAATGGGAAATTCTGTATATGAAACATCAGTCTCTGAACTTATCCATGAGACGCATTCATTCATTCATTCATGGGAATCATTCATTCATTTCCAAGGGAGCCTGCCTTCATTGTAAAATTTGCTGCAGTACAGAGGGAAAAGTGTTCAGTTTCTGCTTCCGCATCAGGACCCATTCGTTATAATCTAACATGGCTAACGGAGCTTGGTCCAAGTGAAGACTTGTAGTTCTTAAACTGAAACCTACCTGTTTTTCAAGGTCCACAAATAAAAGATGGGGTGTGTCCCTCCTTTAACATTTCTCCCTATATGCTTCCTTGAATTTCATTATTACTAAGAAACTGTACATAAGTAAATGCCAAAATATCCCAAGAAAAATGCCTTCTCTCAGTACATCCAATTCAACAGATTACAATAAATTTTTCAAGAGCTCATGCCAACTTAAATTTGTTAATTCAGTTGTACAACAGGCTGTGGAAAATTTAACTAAACAAAGCTTTCCCTCTACATCTCAACCAAGCTTACAGCTGAATACAGTAGTCGTGAGATCAGCACTTGTTCACCATACTGCAATGTTCTTATGTTCAAGACATACACCAACAATAATATCATGCAGCACCCTCACACAAGTGTTAATTTATTTTTAAATAAGGACCACTGTATATATTAGCCAAGACTGCAAGGCCATTGAGAAACTGAAGTGGCTGAACAGGAAGACTATATATCATGCCGGTAATCTGAGAAGATAATTTCTCTTCCTTCCAATCTATTTCCTTTAAAGGCAACGTTAACACAGAAGCCAAACATTTCAGAAATGCCTAACGCCAGATCCATAAACTTGTATTTATTCATCAAAATAGATGGTTAGTGTTTCACAAGTGGCCAGTGCTTAGCAGCATATTTCAATGGTTCCTTTCAATTCTTGAAAGTCAATCCTCCTACTGCAAGGTAGGAGCCTGCTGCAATTGTTGCTTAAAACCACAGTCACAACCTTTAGACAGACCCAGGGTTTTTTTTGTGGGGGTTTGGGTTTTTTGGTTGGTTTGTTTTTTTGTTGTTTTTCCTTTTCCCAGTGTCAGTATACACTCAGTCTATTGTGCGAGTGGAACTTAAACAAATCACCTCAGGTGGTATTAAGGGATGCAGAATGATGGTCTCAGGCGTGTACGTCCTACAGACGGATCCCTTCCGGGTCTGCTCTTTGGAGCAATCTGTCTCATCATCATTTTGTACGATATCGCTGCTGTCACTGTTGTTGGTCTCATAGTCAGAAGTGGCTTGCGCAGGATCATCTACAACACAAATCACAAAGATTGTTGTGTGAATAGCAAGGATTGCATCAAAGTCATCCTGTGACCTTCTGAATAATAGCAACAGGATCTCTGACTCATAATACATATGTGCTGCTTGGCTGGGTCCAAAGTCGGACAATCTGTCCAAAGGCATTAAAGCATATACCCTGCAGAGTGTAAAAAATGGGATCAGGGATTGAAGAGTGAGAAAAATTTTGAGGACTGTTATTTGAGCTGATTAGGTTAGATGAGGGAAACCATATTTCCTTTATATTTTAACTCCATTCTTCGTTAGTATTTTGCACGTTGTACATACAAAAAGGAAAGGAGCCTCAAACACAGTTTGTATGGTCTCACCTACATATGTTCTCCTTTTATGACAGACAGTGAATGACTATTGAATCTTAAGGGATGAGGAGTTTTTGATGGACAAAGAATTACCTGTTCTGTTCAGGGTGTGTGTGGAACCATTATTTCTATCTAGTGTCCCATCACCAGCTTCTATTTGGTTATAGGGTCTGCCACAGCTGAAATACATCAAGAAACATGCACAATATAAAGAACCATGCGCATTAGACAGTCTTATG